CATACATACATATTACATATGTATACTCTTCGGAGGTGATAGTGTTGTTATTAACTAATTTGGCCTGTTACAATTTTTGTTCCACAGTATGTTTTATTAAATACTCCTCATTAATGTGTTTTGAATTGTTCCCCTCAGCCTTCACAAGGGGGCAGTAATGGGGATTTGGGATTCCCCATTCTGGTCTTCCTTTGAACATACTTGACACTTTACAGTAATTTAGTAGTTTTATTCAGTAATAGTTGAGCCCAGGCTTAATCAAATTTGCAAATGTGTCAGACTTGCATGAGACATAGATATTCAAGTTCTGACAAAAACCCAGCAAGTCATAGAAGAAATGTATTCCCATCTGCATTTGCTGCTACCTGTACGTTATTGCTGTCTCTGCGCAGCCTCTGTCTGATAGTGAGTCTGTCCCAGCTTCTACACACCTCTGTGTTCATCTTCTAGCCCCGCTAACAATTTTTCATTCTAGGAACATTTACTGAACATTACGATTAAGGTATGGAAATGTTCAAGGTGTCGTTTTTCCTGATGCTCCTAGAACATTATCCCACTACTACAATGACTACCACAGCTAAGAACAAGAACACAGAAACCAACAAAGGGCATTGATAAGGCAGCAGGCAGCACTCTCTAAAGTAACGCCTGGATGCTGTGTTGGCAGTATACGTATATAACATACTATGCACATATTTTGGCAGTATACACATGAAATAAAACAATATTTTTTCAATGTTACTTGTGTTAAAAAGATGTCCAGGTAATAATGTTACCATGCTGACATTGACAGAACTTTCGTTAAAATGTAAAATGTGGAAATAACGTTCCATTAATGTTAGTGAGAATGTTCTCCGCCAGCTTTGAGAAGACCTTCACGTAACGTTGACTAAAGTTCTGAGAATGTTCCCCGTTAGCTGCGTTGCACACATTCCCTACTTCCCTGCCAGGAACACTAGTTTCCAGGTGTTAAGGTGCGTAGTCCATATCAAATAAATCAACAAAGAAGCCACAATAACTTGTTCAGTAATGTCTGCGGGGACCTCGCATGCTGCTTCATCCTCGTGGCCCTCTGACGGTTGGGTGAGAATGTGGTGGCATTTCAAGCCGGGGATTTCCTCACATCACAGAAAAGATCCTATCGGTGTTAAAGCAGCCTGGCATGGAATGTTGCTGAAGCTGCCATATGAAGGAGAACATTCATAAACACACACAGGAGACCTTAACACGCGACGTTATAGAGATATAAAATATGAAAACTGGTATCATTTACAAAGTGTTGCAACCTAGTTAATAACCTGCTTATAAACCTTTCATAATCCCTTTATAAGGGTGGCCTTATTGTAAAGTGGCACCGTTAGTTTAAGGAGAACATGCGATCTCCATGGGCACTGAGCAGATAAACCTCCGAATCCCTGTCGGGGGTGTACTGGGAGCTGTGAAGGAGAAAAAATGTGGACTGCGGATTGCGTGAGAACTGGGTTGGGAAACGCTGATCTAGAGTCACGGTTCAGTGCTGAGTGTGTTTTTCTGTCCAGCCTCCAAACATGGCCGTCCCCACCAGACAGGGTTTTGCCGAAATGTTACTGCAAGCAACATCCACTCAAATTTATGAAAAATGAAGTTGAAAATGAGTCAATAAGGGCAGCACCGGGTACATTTCCTGTTGAAACCCACTCGTCTATCAGTCATTTCCATCTGAACATATCGCACTGCCATACTTTCTGGATGTTGCAATATGTGAGAGCCAACGGAGGCATAGACAGAACATCACTACAGGTGCATTTCAGCATGGAACAGCCGTGATTCTACTCCATTATGCGCTGAATGCAGCGAGCATGCTGTCATCTTATGCTCAATGGTGCAGGGTCTGCACAGGATGTACAGTATAGCAACACAATGCATAGGCAGGAGTTACACTTATGGTCTTCAGAGGTGAACGCTAATTATTTGCTGCCTATTCTGTTAATGCTAAGAACGAATGTTTTTTTTTATGTTACGTTGTTCAATAATGGATGATGATGGAATCATTTATCAATGTTACGTTGTGAAATGACTGAAAAGAAATTTTGCTTTCAACAAAATGTTTTATTGATGCACTTTTTATAGTTAAAAACATGGAGGATCATCCTGGAAGTTCCCCCCGCGTTGGAGCTGCACCACACGGCCCTTTGCTTACACACTGGCTGAGGGTCACACTTCACCGCTCACTGATGAAGCTTCCGTGTATTACCACATGGTGCCTTTCACAACACAGTCGCCCCAAGGTGCTTTACATGGGAGTGTTGAAATACATTCCTGCATCATTCATACAGAAAAATTCAAAATCAGGGAAAACGGAGGAGAGACAGAAAGAAAGAGAAAAAAAAGAGGGAGAGAAAGAAAGGAAGGAGTGGGTTTGCTTGCTAAAAGCAAGGTGTAAACTGTGGTCAGGGTCAAAGCCAAAATCTATTAATGAGTCGGTTCTGCATCCCAACCTGGGAAAGGTGGCAGGCTGAAGGCTGCATCCATGATGTCACAGTTCGTAAGTCACATCCATGATGCAACAGTTCGTAAGTCACATCCATGATGTCACCCTTCCATGGGCCTGAACCAGGACTCCAGCTTCAGTCAAGATTGAAAGACCGAGACCGATTCGGCATCCTGAATAGCACATAGGCAGGTCTTGTCACAGCAGTTGCTGTAAGGATTTTCCTCTATATGGTGAGGATTCCATCATATCCTGTCTAATCTCCTCCAGTGTTTAGAGGACTTTTGCTCACTGTGTAAATATGTATGTATGTGTGTGTGTGTTTGCATAGATCACATTTGAGGACTAAATTGTCCCCAAAGTGTAATAAAACCTGAAATTTCCCTACTTTTGGGGACATATTTTGCGGCAAATACACCATCAATTCCTCTAGGGGAATGACAGATACAGGTCCTGTACAGCGGCCAGAGGGATGTTGAGCGATTCCTCTTGCAGATCAGTGGCCAGGTCATTACGTGATACAGGTGGAGGAAAACATTTCCTGACTCGCTTCTCCAAAACACCCCAAAGTGGCTCCATAATCTTCAGATCTGCAGGTCATGGGAGATGACCTTCACTTTCATCAAAACACTGTCACCAGACTCACTGTGTTTATTGGTGCAACATCATCCTGATACACAGCACCACCTTCTGGGTGCAATGTTTGAAACATCAGGTGAACATGATCCCCCAGAATGGTCTAGCCGTGGCAGTGACGCACCCATCTAGAACAAGTAGCAGGCCTGGGGAATGACATGGTACTGCAGCCCGAACCGTCACTCAGGTGAGACCTTCTGATTTTCCTTTTGGTTGCTTAAATAACCATTTTAACTAAATGAATAATTTTTTTTTTTTTTAGATTGATTTAGTGTGATACGTAGGTGCGGAACACAGACATGACATCAATGATGTGAATGGTGCAACTTTGGTAGTTTTTCTCCTGCAATCCAAAGACATGCAGCTAGGTTAGCTTGTGTCTCTACATTGCTAACTAAGGATGGCTATGTGTATGTACCCTACAATAAACCGGTGAGTTGTGCAGGATGGACCACAGCCTTGTCCTCTGTGCTGCCTGGGATAGGGTCCGCTTAGCCCTGACCAGGATAAGGTATTAGAAGATGATTGAGGAGATAGACAAAAGCATAACTTGACATTATGAGTCTGTCTCTTTCCCTGTTATTCTACAGACAGCATCCCCCAGACAAAGGTAACTGTGGCAGCTAATCCACTGGCCGCTAACCCGCATCGCAGTGGCCAGGTCATGCTCACTCATTCAGGCCCAGTGAAAGCCAACATTGGTAGGTCACTTCTTCCACCAGGATGCATTCCTTCGCGTTTATAAACGTGGTGATGATGTCATAATGCAATGCAGGATACGATGATGTCACTTGTAAAGCAGGAGTAATAACAGAGAGATAATGTCATCCTTATTTTAAGACCACTGACAACATATTCCTTGGGTGAATTTGGTTCTTCTCAAGATTCATTAAATGACCTTTATTTCCCTCTCCGATTGTCTTAATGGCCATTGGGTAGAAGTCAATTAAAATTCGCATCTGGCTTTCTCGTTTTGTGATTTTTTTCCTTTTCTCCTACAAAAGACATCATGTTCCCTGGCACAGAGGCAAAATCATAATCATTGTTCATTCCCTTTTTCTCAAATTCCCTCGCATCTAATACGGAGTCAATATATAAAGAGTCTCCTAGGTAGAACAGGTACCTCTGTTCGCATCACCAGAATTGCTCCCTTGTTCGTTGTTTCCACTCGTAGTGTCTGACGCCCGGCATTCTCACCTTCCACCTGTACAGGGGCATCCGAGAAATGTGTGTCACCACTTAACTCTTGAGGACATAGTTATTTCCATTATCCCAGATCCTGAGATGAGCTCCACAGGTTAGTTTTTCAATTTTGTCTGCAATAAAAGCCCAGGAATGCTGGAGAATCACACGACAAAAACAAACCAAATGTTATACACTTATCAGTTGCCTATATTGATCTAATTCATCATGTTTTACTAGGTGGTTGCCTTGCCTTGACAATGTCCTTGTTGCATAATATTGGGTTTTAAGCCTCTCTAAAGTACTGTTAGGTTACTAACATTAAATCGATCATTGTGTGTGATCGGTTGTTATGGGAAGGATAATGTAAGAGTTATTATCCAATCAGAATTCTTTATGAAGAATTCAAGCACTTAAGCAATATCTTAATTTCTCTCTCATGTCCACTTTCAGCACAGACCATGAATTGCCACCATCGGTGTTTGCATAATATCACTCCACCCATCCGACTACACCTGTAGCCTTGCTTATGATAACAGAGGAACGCCCTACCCGAAAGAAAATAGTGCCCCCAGCTTCAATGGAAGAGAAAAAAAACCTTTGTGTAATAAGTTCTGCATCCCTCGGTGGCCGTCGCCCTTGAACATTGTTGCGTTTCGTACCGCTGTACAGGAACACGTTTTTTTTTTCAACTGCAAGTTATTTGACAAGACTTTCTGTTATACCAACCACCATCTGGAAAATAAGACATGAAAACAATATTATATTGGGGGAAGAATCTAAATAAAACCCTGCTTTCTTCATTTACAAAGTGTTAGAAACATACATTCCACCAGAACGTGTAATTTTAAATGTCTCGGTTATTTGTAGGAGTAGCCTATAGGCTATAATAACTATTTCGTCACAGTATAAATAATTTTCCCCTGGGCCTTTTTAAAAAAAAAAAAAAAAA